CATTCTTCTAATGCTCTTCTGACAATGTCTTCGGGCAAATATTTTAGAACGGAAACTACCATATCTATACTATTATATTTATATAATCATCGAAATTCTACATGATCATACTCGTCTATCAGCATCTTTATTCTTTAAAACCAGTAATACGAGACGTACTATGTAATAAGAATAACTTTAACCAGCCAAATTACATTCATTGCTCTTAAAATATTTTTCAAGTTTCGGTTTTTTATTAAGACTATTTTCTCATGAACTTGAGTAAGTTCACCGCATTTCGATGCAATATCGATGAACAATACACCAGTGTCCATCAAATAACGGTTTTGGTTCAAATTTGTCTACTAATTATTTTAATAGGTACGTATCATCTGATGCATTTACAAGTCAGGAGATCATAGATGGTACTTCATTAAACGAGAGACTTATTCTTATACATCGTATATTTTATTCGAGATACACAAGTTTGAAAAAAAATTTAGAATGGTCGGTGAAGCTTTCAATAGGAATCAATACTATGGAATTTTAATGATCTGTTTGAATAAAATGAACAAAAATGATCATAGAAACAATACTTGATAGTGAGATTTTTATCATTTTTCAATGATTACAGTGAGTACTTACAAGATTAGGACTTGGTCATATTTTCTTTTACTCAACCATACTCAATGATATCCTTGATTGGCACAGTCTACTCATGTTCGTTGACTTATGCACTAATTATTGGATTCAAGCCAAATGAATTATATATCAGTAGATATTTTAGAAAAAAATATTTACAAATTTTGTACGACGATCATTTATCAGAAATGTAAAAACAAACAACTTCTTTTTAGGATACTTTTTTAAACACAACCAGTAATAAATATAAATCGTCTTTTGTATTAGATTAAAGTTCAGTCACTCAAAATTTTGCGTCATTCGATCGAGTCCTTTTTACAAACTACTAGCTCATGTATGATTTCTTCAGAAATAAAGATGCGAATATGTTTCGAATGAAGACCGTTTTTTTTCGCATAGGGAAAAGAGCATTTTTTTTCTGGTATTCAGTAATGTCGGTCGCGAAAATTAACTTTTCAATCAAAGCAAATATCACAAACAGTATCACCATAAAAAATGGCATTAACCTATATACATATCAAAAATTTCTGACGAGCTTGATTTTTCGTCAAAATCTTCAGCTTGACTCTAATTAGAGTATCGTTAAGAAATTAGTCAAAGAACAAAAGTTGTCAGAAAATTAGGAAACATACATAGACTAACATCATTTTTATGTTGATTACGATTATAACATCAGTTCTGATCCAGTAAACAAAACGACCTTCATTTGGAAAATGTTCGCATCACAGCTGAATGCAGGACAAGGCGGTTATGCTGTGCTGTGCTGTCCTGCCGCCTGCTAGGACAGAGTCAGACAGGAGTACATGAAAGATAAAGATATACTGTGTTCAGCTCTGATTCACATGTTTATTTAGAAAGAATTTATACATCAGCTAGTAGTTTGCAAAAAAAAGACTCGATCGACTGACACAAAATTTTGAGTGAATGAACTTTAATATAATACAAAAGACGATTTGTATTTAACATTGATGGTATTTAACAAAGTATCCTAAAAAGATGTTGTTTGTTTTTACATTTCTGATAAACGATTGTCGTACCAAATTTGTAAATATTTTTTTCTGAAGTATCTACTGATATATGATTCCTTTGGCTTGCATTCGATAACCAGTGCATATGCCCAAGAACATGGGTACACAAAGATCTCCATGAGTACCTTTAAAAAACTGAAAATATAACTGACGATGGAACATTCCCAACTGTCACATCGCTTTTGAGTCGAGCGTATGCGCATCATGTAGGTCCTAATGATCTATGAATACTCTGAAAAAAGTTCGTGCTGCTAGCTTATTACTACCGAGATATTGCATTTTTACTGTATGTTTAAGAAAAAAAGCCGTGGTCCTCCTCAGGAACACTAGGAAAACGGAGTTTCGAACTTCAACTTGAAACTTTCCATAGAGATAGACCTCAATGAGAATAGTTTATTGTGAAAGTTTCAGATCTCTTGATTGCTTCTAGTCTGAAATAAGAATATCGGAATCTGCTGATGTATATCAGCGATTTTACCATAGCTGTATCTTAGGATAGGAACAACAAAAAGATCTGAAATTTTCACAATAAACTATTCTCATTGAGGTCTATCTCCATGCAAAGTTTCAAGTCGAAGTTCGAAACCCCGTTTTCCTAGTATTCTTGAGGAGGACCACGGTTTTTTTTTTCTTAAGCGTACAGTAAAAATGCAATATCTCGGTAGTAATAAGGTACCAGCACGAACTTTTTTCAGAGCATTCATAGATCATTAAAGCTTACATGACGCGCATACGCTAGACTGAAAAGCAATATGACAGTTGGGAATGTTCCCTCGTGAGTTTTAAGCGTATAAGTGTTTACTAAAACCATTTAAAAATATGATAAAAACTTAAATATTAAGTATTGTTTTCATAATAATTTTTGGTTCTTTTTTTATCCAAACAAATCATAAAAATTCAATAGCACCGATTTCCTCTGAAAACATTACCCATCTTTTCTGTTTATTTTTTCTATTCTATATCAAATTACATATGGTTTCGTATTGAAGAATTATCGAAAATATTGTTGTTAAACAGTCACTGATTATAACTGCAATAACATGACAAAATTACATATTTAAATACTTGAAAACACAAAAATAAATAAATAAATAAACGAATTTAGAAAAAAAAGAAACCTGTTAATCTACTATCGCAAAAGCATCTCTTAAAAATTGTTTAAAATTAAGAACAAATGTTAATAATGCAAATAAGACGAGTGATAATATAATCATTGTTAAATGTCGTGGTATAGCTGCTCGTAGTCGTTTAGTGAAACGATATAGACGATAGGCAACTTTAATAATATACTGAAAAAATTTCCATACAGTTAAAACATGTACAATACAAAATAGAAGACGGATGATAGTTGTATATCGACCGAAATCAAAACGATATCGTTCCGAAAGCCACCAACAATAGGAAAGCCATAGACCACTAAACACTAATGCTAAACGAAACTGATTTCGAGCAACAAATTCATTTTCTTCTGTTATTGATAGACGTGCTAAGGATGTTGTGAGCTGATATGGTATTGCTATTGGAATTTTATCAGATGAAGCATATGCATTAGTTGTATCCATTCGAATGAAGTTTAGTTTAGTCTATTTCATCTACAATTTAAAGATTAAGGAAAAGACAATGCAGAGAAACACAAGACAAAAGAGTCAATTTTATTTTAACGTTAATATGTTAATTTCTACGGAAACATAGACAAACACATACAGATTAAGATTTGCTATCTTTTTGCTGTTGTTCATCATTATTTATAGCTTCTTGTATTGTTTCATGTTCTTGTTGTTTAATTAATTTTTTTAAAATATCAACACGGTTTAATATTTTATGGCATTTCAGTCGAAGATATTCTTTCGATTGTTCATTGGCACATGTGCGAGACATAAATTCATCCATCAAATAATCAACTCCATCACGATAATGACGTATAGCAGCATAATAATCTCGATTATGGTCATAAATTTTAGCTTGTTCAAGTAATGTTAAACCTTGTTTTAATTTATCAAAATCATCTTTGCTTGTACAAGCACTAAGACAGACATTTTCATTAATTGGTGTCATTGCGGCATGAGCTAAGCACAAAAATACGAAATACAAGAAAAAAAATTATTCTAAATTAGAAATATCTGTTTTTTCTAATACCTCCTGTATTACTATCCATTATTGTTTAGCTTTTCTTAATAATGGGGTACAGTACTAGAAATTAGATCTAGAAAAAAAAAAAGAAAACACGATCTACAATCATAAATGCTAGATGAATGTTCGTTCTCATTTTCTTGTCAAACTTGGATAGAAAGCAAAAAAAAGGAATAGAAAAAAAAAAGAGTAGAAAAAAAGAACTAGAATAAACATACATGCAGAGTTCATTACTAGCGGACGGGTACGAAGGAAAATCCGAGAAACACGATCATCACTCAAGAAAAGAAAATGTATGGAACAAGTATGGTGATAGTTCTGACATTTTGCTATTCGTTTTTTTTCTTTACATTTTTCTTTTGCTTGTTCTTTCTCTGTCTGTCAGTGTTTTTAGCGTCCTTTTTTCCTATGTTATAGTTTTATCGTTCATGAAAAAAAAGTGATCTTCTTAAAGGAGTAACCACAACTTGAATCAATAGGACGACAAGAGAAAGACAACCGGGAAAGAAAAAAAGATGAGAAAAAAAATATTCCCAAACCACAAAAAAATAAGCAAACGCTTATTCCATTGTTTAATCAAGTGTTGCTTATATTATGTAGGCACGAATGTTGATGATGTTGATGATATTAGACTTTAATTATAAAAATGCAGAAAAAACAATTGGGTTCACTTTGGTGAAAAAAAATATGGAACAACTAAAAGTTATTCATGATTAAACATAAGAATAGTATTTTGTTTTTTCTGAAATGATTCATTGTGCAATTCAAGCAAAAAAAAGAAAATATTTAATCTTTTTTTCTAGTGTATAGTTTTAATAGCTTTCTTTTTTATTATGACAACACAATAAGACAAGGTCAAGTTTTCCCACATCGATGTCAAAACACAAAAAAAAAAACATTTGAGATTATAATAGAAACTTATAATGAAATTCATGTGGTTCGAAAAATATATAGTTCTAATAAATCAATTTATAATAGTTCATCTATTGATAACAAACATTATGCTACCGCTTCTTGTACAGATAACAATATTTATTAATTAATTAACTTATTTTTTTCAAATGTACTAATACTTATTACAATCAAATGAAACTTCAAATACTTTTAGAATTCAAGAGCAAATAAATAACTTTCTTTTATTTCACAATCTTATTTACATTCAAAGGTTTCTGTGACATATATTCAGCGCGTTTTCTTCTAATCATCTAACTACACAATACGATGCCGCATTTAAAACATAAACTTAGAAATTACATTTTATATTTTCTTGGCTGTCTAGTAATTATTACTGCTTCCATAACATTTGTTTTAAGTCTTTATCGATTACAGCGTGATGCAAGTTTATTAAATCGTGAACGAAAACGTGACTATGTAACAAATAAAATTAATAAATCATTTCCAACCATAGCTATTATTATGAGTATTATTGTATGTATGTCATCAATACTTGGTTTTATTACTGTTCTTATCGATGGTCGAATAGAAATGTTGATCATATCTATTGTTTCAAATATTATTTTAGGTATTGGTCTTATTGTTCTCAGTGTTATTATGCTTGGATTTGTTCAAAATATAGTTGAGAATTTTCCTATTGATATTGAACGATTACTTGTTGATTTTATTATTCATAATAGTAAGTAAAGAGAAAGAAAAAAAAGGCCATATTTAGTAAATAATAATAATAAATTTTAATAAAATAAAGAAACATCAGCACGTGATGAACTACTTAATATTGAAAATAGTAATGATTGTTGTACAACACAAGATTTAACATGGACGAAAGTATATTCTAAAGCAGCTGAATGCAATCGAGAAGAGAAATATCGAATGATTTATGCTGATCAAGATGAACAACGTGGTTGTGTTAAAATTATTAGTCGAACAGCATTGTCATTTATGCCTGTACTCATTTCAGAAATTATTTGTGGCTGTCTTTGTCTATTACTTGGTTTATGGACAATTTATGTTACATGTCATATTAATAATCGTTATAACAATCGTCAGAAACCAGTTGATGAAGTTATCGATGTAACACCATCAACGGTACCTTCAACAAAATATTCATATTATCAAACAAACAGATCAATACATACTATGAGTCCGGATATTAAAATTCATGGTGATCAAATGAATAAACCAATAGCTAATCATACTGTATCACGTCATTCCAATCCTCCGATTCCTTTTAACAAAGTTGATAAATCTTTATATGCGAATACTGTGACGCCATGAATGACATTGAGTTTTTATTAACAGAGTAGATGAATAATTCAACAGAGATTTAACAAATAAAGATATTAATATAAGTTATTAATGAAAAGTTCATGTTATGTATTATTTAGAACTATAGAAATACTGCAGAAATCTATTCTATTCAAAAGTTACATGATTATTAAATTATAAATAGCAGTGATGGGATCGGTTTGTGTTTTTTTTTTGAAACAGAATCGAATCGAGTCGAAAAAATCTCAAACCGATTCGAAAATCAAGGATGAAAAGAAGATTAAAAAGTTTTTATTGTTTTCTAAGAATATTCCCCTAAAAACCTTTATTGAAGACATGCTTAAAACGTCATTAATAATTCTAAAAACGAACTAGAAATTTGTAGTAGAAATAATGTTAAGAACATGAGTATTTTCGTTTTCAGAATAAAAGAAATTTTCGATGATAGAAGACTAATTCATTTTCAGTAGTTAGTCAATTTTTTTTCTAATCAAGAGCCGTTCAAGGTATTTTTTTGTTGTCGTTCAGTGCAGATATATAGGGACTACATTTTATATGATACACTCATTTTAATAGAAAAACATTAAGTAATACCTTATAGTAATTATTTACTACCTTATTAAATCCAGTTTTACTCTCAATTTACAAGACCTATATGATAGAGCACCTAAAATTGAGAGAAATAATCTACCTATCATTGCAAAATAGACAATTTCAATGACTTTTACAGACTTTGTTTATCGATGTATTTCGAAATATTATTTAGAAGGTTTAGGACAGTTGCGCGCGGACTCTTGCTCGTTTGGACACTTGTTCGCTATAACAGTTACTTAGGGTCCTATAGCGAGCAAGTGTCCGCGCGCAACTGTCCCGATCATCATTTAGGTGATCTGTTCTTAACTTAAATGCTCATTGTTATATATTCCTTGAACGTTACAAAGAAAGTAATGTTATTGTCATCACCTAAGAGTTATTACAACAAGACAATTAATTGATACTTATTTATATATATATATATATGAGTGCTTCATACTGAAATGTAGTCTGTAAAAGGGCGCACTGAATGAAATTAATGAGTAGTTGAGTAAAATTAAGAAATTTGCTACACTTTCTTCATCCACTCTTAGTGAATATGTTTGTTACAGATCTCTTTCTCTCTAACAAAACTTGGTGTTTGTAAAATCTTCGGTTCAATTCAGCCGAAATCCAATTTTATTCGAATTATTATCTTTCCTTTTCTTTTTTCTATTACATATACATATACTTTCAAACACAAGTGAGAGAAATATATAAGTGAAATACAAAGAGAGAGATGAATAAGTGTCCTTTACTCCAGCCTAGACTATTTTATATAAAGAAGATGACGTCCAACGTATTCTTTTATTAGAATGTTCTTACATTTAGAACAGAAGAAAAGAGTGATCATTTATTGAAATTGTCACGGCCGGATAGGAAAGTAGAAGAGAAAAAGAGAGAGAGGAAATAAGAAGAGAAAAGAATAAGAAATAAAGATGTTTGTAAGAGCATGCTGACAAAGTTAAATATATATTTGGATCGAAATCGGTTCCGAATATTTGGAATCGAACCGAACCGAAAAAATTTCAAATTGAACCGATCCCATCACTGACAAATAGGATAGATTTAATTTAATTTAATTTGAAGAAGAAGATATTTCTAGATATAATTCTTAATCAGATATAAAGTTTGAATTATTTGAATAATATTATATACGAACCTAGAACATATTTATTTGTAAAGATAGTTATTATTTTTACTCGTTTTAAATGTGATTGAAAACTTCTAGATCAAATTTAAATTTTTCTGAATAAGATCCAAACAGGGTTAAAGACTGGCTCAATCAGCATTCATTTTGTTTCTATTTTATACACAAAATGAAAAAGAATGTTTTGTTGCAAAGTTTTAATAATTGAAATGTGCTTCAATGATGGTTCATTTTCTGAACATTCTTAAATGCAATCTAGACATAAAACTTAAAAACAATTTACGTAATAGTATCTAAATGTATCTATATATAAGTATATTAAACCATGTTGATACGTTCGAACGCCTTTTACATATCTGTATGAGCATATAAAAATACATCATAGAGATCTTTCAAACTGTACCCAAACTCAATTACTTTTATCCATAATATTTACATAATAAATAGATGAATCAGCGATGATTATCAAAGCAATTATAAAAAAGCATTGATAATGAATACAATAGATAATACTGACAACAGTAGAGTTGATTTAGCGTACATAAATTATTATGACATGGCTTTGTGATATTTCAGAAAAGATAGAAAGAGAAAAAAAACTAACAGAAGCTAACTGATTTGTTATTGAAAAATACAACACGTATAAATTCATCTTATTCTTCTATTATTGATAATAGATTACAATTCATAGCATCATCAAACGAGCTATTCATGGTTATTCTATTCTAACAAAATTATCATTCATTATCCATTTAATTAGCCCAATGACTTTCAATACATTCAACAAATTGAAAAAAAGAAAAATAAATTAGTTAATATAATAACATCATGATTAATTCTCAAATGATGAATGATGCTTTTCTTATAAATAAATTATTCGAATTTTATAGAACTTGTGAAGATAGTAAACAAGAAAATTTTATGTATCCTAATTTGACAAATTTACTCTATTTTTTTTTTGCAATGTATATTATAAGACAATACTACTTTATTGATTAAAATTATTAAATTACTAATCATATTGATATGTTATTAACAAAAACGAGGCAGTTAAAATTCTCATTCGTTGTGTATATTGGAAAATTTTTCTCTCGAAATGTTCAAGTTTTTGTTTTTTTGTTACTACAGTTGTTTATTTTTTATGTTGAAATAAAATACATTAAATTTCACAAGTGTGTTATAATTATTCAGTCTTTCCAAAGAAGTTTTATTTAATAGTCTTGGACTTTGATGAAGATCGATGTACTCATAATGAGAAATTTATAATTATCCTTTTTCTTTTTTGATAACTGTTTATGGCCTTAAAAACGCTTTTTTCCCATTATAAGTGTGTCGATTTATCAATTGCATAATCAGTTGAATGCACTACTAGTATTCATAATCTCAACAAGTATATTTCGTCATCAAAAAACAATTTATATCAGCTAATATATGACATATATTGGTGAAGAATAACAACAATCTTAAAAAGTTCTTAACGTAAAAGTCATATATATTTATATATATATATATATATAATTTTCTTCTTCACGTGATAATTATGAAAATATTTGCGTATTTGTCATTCATATGACAAAAATAAATGATGAGCTTTAAAAATAAGAAAAGAAACAATTTATTATTTATCACTAGAAAACCAAAAGAATTCAAACATTCCATATTTGACATCATTTGTTTTTGTTTTATAATCGTGATCATGTAATTAAGTATGTACTAATGAAGTTCATTTTATCAGCAGAAACTTATTTTTGATCTATTTTCAACGTTTTATACTGAATAAGTGACATGACTATGCCAGTTTCCAGTGTATACCATTGAATAGTAATTCAAATAGATCTATTGTCGTTTCTATTGCATATGTATGCTTGTAATTATCCTTATTGTTCATTGATACTTGCCACCCGTTATTTTGTAATCACTCGTTTCTTATATACATCATGTACAGTCCGATGTTTTTTATTTCGTTGAAAAAAAAACTCTTAGTATGTGTCTGGTAATTCAAGTTATGTAGGTTATAGCGAAGCAATGTATTCTTTTCAGATGAGAATAAACATCTCTCTACTGACTAGTATAAAAATAATTACTTAACGGCTTAAGCAAAGAATAACAATAGAAAGGGAATCAAATTTGATTGAATATTAGTATGCTCTTAATTCTGTGGAACATATATAAACTATACTAAGCTATCCAAGATAAACTTGAGGATGTTACTTCGATTAAAACAGATCAACCTCATTCTTATGTCATCTGAAAACTCTATTCAAAAGCTACATACTTATATGAGATAAGCACAAATGGATCTTCTTTGTTCCTTCTTCTGATTAAATCTATCATTATATCCTTTTTTACCTTAGAAAACAGCATGTAGAAACACAATAGCGTTTCAATTCTTAGTAAAGTTTTTACTAAAATTCTAAAATCAATTCTGCGATGCTCTCTAGAAATTTTCAGACAAGCAACTGTTTGATTTGCTAATCAATCATTTCGATAGTAGTCTGATTTAAATAGATGTTAAAAAAGTCATATGCTGATTCTAATAATTAAGTTCATACATGACATACTTTGGCATATAAAGCCTTGCTACACTCTTACCTTATAATCAAATATTACTGTAATTTTATTAAACTTGAAACTAAAAAGATTTTTGAATTGGGTTTAACCAAGCTTAATCAGACTACAACTTGATATGCAGATAGTAAAAAGTTACTAGTTGAAAAATTTCTAGAAACCGCTTGGAATCAATTTCAGAATTTTAGCATAAAATTTGGTAAGAATTGAGATATGATTATGTTTCTATATGCTGTTTTCTTAGGAAGAAAAAGATTCTATAATAAATACAACCAAACAAGGTCTATTTCTGCTTATCTCATACAAGTATCTAGCTCTTGAAAAGAGCTTTCAGATGATTAAAGAATGATGATGATCTGTTTTAGTCGAGGTTATATCACCAATCTTATCTTTAATAGACCGATGTATTTGATATACATTCGGTAAAATTATAAATATACTAAAATTCCATCAAATTCGATTCCCATATCTATTATCACTATTCTTCTAAGTGATTAATTAATTAACTTTATATCAATCAAATAGAGAAATGTTTGCTATCATCCGAAAAGAAAAAAAAAACCACTTCTCTGCGATGCATATAACTTTAATTATCAGAGAAATACTAAGCATGGTTTTTTTTTCGACAGAATTAGAACATTGGACTCTATTTTCCATTCTTACTCCATGTGGTATTTTTATGAGATTTTTCTCGTCGTTGAAATTTGATGATCCGATA